AAAGGCTTTGTTGTTGTTGTTGTAATAAAGTTTTATTGAGACAGAAGCACCCAAGACAGGCAGAGTCCGAGGTGTCGAATTTCATCAAAGATTATTCATTTCCTCCAAGGAAACTTCCAATAAGTTTTACGACCGCCATTGGACACCGACAAAATGGCGGATATCAACATCATCTCTCTCTCATGTAGATCACATCCTAATGTCCTGTCATTCTTCAGCGCTGGTCTCTCTGAGGTGACATTCAACCTACCTTGTTCTTTATGTTACCCATTGATGCCTGAAACCACTTGGCCCCATGACTGCATAGTGCTTGTGGTACCACATCTTTCAGCCGAAAGGATAACCTACCTACCAATCATTAGACAGGATAACCTTACCACGATATATACACTCATGGACAAAGCTTAAGGAAGTGGAAAATCTTTGTTGTGGCCAGTCATCTATTATTTTTAAGGAGACAGAGGCAAATTTGTTCACACTTGGTTATCTCGGCAGAAGAAAACGGGGTTCACAGCTAGGTAGACAGGTAGACTAATGTGTCTACCTTGAATTTTGCCTGGACTTCAGCCAGGCCCAGTACTTTCTGGCGCTGGAGGCGAATCTGGGCAAGGTCTCCGTCTACCAGATGACGAAGATGTAGGGGCATATACTGGTCAGTCTCTACAACGCAGCTAGCCGACAAGTTGATAGAAGAAGGCCTCGACTTTGAGGACTCCACCCTGCGGGTTTTCTCCCTCAGGAATAAGGTCGAGCGCATCGTGATGAGCAACGTCCTCTTCCTCGTGGAGGACTCTAAATTCGTCGACGCGCTACGGTCATAGAGCCACGTCCATCGTCCATAAAATGATGCAGCTCGAAGATTCCGGCTGGGCTGATGCTCGTCAGGAAGCTTTCATTATTCTGTGAGACAGAGTAAAGCTCACCTAGATCCCGCCCTAGCTGGATGACCTTGGCCAAGGCCTGTGCTATAAGCAAGGACACAAACGAGACAATTGTCCTCACAAGACTGGACTGCAGGAGAACAATCTGTTGCTCTCTGTGGATGCTCCTGTTGCACGCACGGAAATCTTGAACACGTCGACCTCAAGGTCGAACAATCCTCCTATTACAGCACTTACCGCCGACTGCTGATGTCTCGTCTATTTAATATTTCTTTAAGAAATCTCCTGATTGTACAACTAAGAGTTGCTGATGGTCTAGGTCATCTATCGGAATAAAATCAACTATTCGTTGATTTTTAATTAACCTAATAATTAGCTAAACACCCTTTCTTCATTAATCAAGATAGGCTAACCGCGATTAGTTGATATTTATTCCAATAGATGGCGCAAGCAACTAGTAAATCTTAGTTGCATGATACAGACATGTCTTTATTCTATTAATTTATTAACCTAATCCCAGTATAATTTCACTTATTTTACGATGCACTAGCGCGCCATCTGTTATCAAATTACAAAACTATTCAACAACAAACAACAAAACAACTTTATTAGGGTATCTTGCCCTGTACGGATTCGCCTTGGAGTTACAGACAATATTAAACATAAGAGAAAAGGTTAAGATAAAGTATTTACAATTAAGGTATGGCAAACAGGGACTTTTTATTGTGCCCCTGTTCTTCTCTCTTCCACGAGTGCAATTTTATTTCCAACCGCTTTTTGATAGTTGAACAGTTCAATTGCCCAACTTTTCTTATCTGAAACAGTTTTTATTAGCTTTATTGAGTTCAAATGCGGTCTAGGAAGACTTTTCAGGATCTTTTTTCTCTCTCCTTCCAGATCCCCGCATTCAGCAATAAAATGGTATATTTCATCAGTAATCTGACTTCCACATAACCCACAGTACAAATCTTCTTTCTTAATTGCGTAAATATGATTTTCTTTGATCATTGTTGACATTAATCTGATCTGTGCAATAAAACTCACTAAAGCTGAAGACAAATTGCATGAAAAATAATGTTCTGGAATAAATGAATCATAAAGTAACCTATAGTTTGAGTATGGACAAAACTATTCTAGACGCGTAATATTCTTTTAAAAATAAAACAATTTCAAAACAAATTGAAGGGAGGGCCTGGCTCATCAGTGGTGAACCTTCCCAGCGGTTTCGCCAGTTTAATTTAAACCGCTGGGAAGGTTCACCACTGATGAGCCTGGCCCTCCCTTTAATTTTTCCATTGCAAGTAAGGGCAGTAGAAATTGTTTTATTTTTAAAAGAATATTACGCGTCTAGAATAGTTTTATAATTTCACTTGTGTAATTTTTTTTTCAGGTCAATTTTTGACATAAATATTCTCGAATTTCTTGCTTCTAATACATTCAACTATACTCATGGAGAGACAAAACGAGATAACCAAGTGTATATACACTCATGGGCAAAAATTAAGGAAGTTGTCCCTTTTAACATGTATATCGGTGAATTGAAGACACACTAGATAACCAAGTGTGAACAAAAAATTGCCTCTATCTCAAAAAATATTAATATTCGACCAGCGACACCAAAAACTTTCCACTTCCTTAAGTTATGCCCATGAGGTGTACTTCAGTATTGACAGAGTTCATGTAAACTCAGCTTGTGTGTAAACGGACACATATTTAATCTACAAAGACAAAAGAGTAAACAAAGTGTGAATATAAGAGGATTTATGTATTTCCAGGACTTTCCTAGTATTCCAAGGTCTATATGTAGATATGTAGGATTGCAGATTCCATCTCTTTGATTTGTTAGATAACCAGTGTTCGATAGAGACAGCTATCCAAGATTGTATGTAGAGCCAATGTTTGCTAGCTGTTGATAAATATTCTATCTTTGTTATTTGTTTTTTTGATTGTGTATGTTCATAGTGTTGTACATCTTAAAAACCAATAAAAGCATTTCCTGATCGCTCATATGACCATTTTAGATGAGAGAAAATAGAGGTAACTCCTGGAGCATAAATCGCTAACTACCCGCGCGGTCTGTACAACTACAGTCTAGAAGTTTCTTAATCATATTGTTTACAAAAAAAATCATAAGACACCCCAAATCCTTTTATGTACTTGATTAAAATAACCTTTCGGAAGGGCTCTTTTTTCATCTCTCTATAACGTTTAAAGACAACGATAATTTCCCTATTCGCAATAAAAGAAAAACAAAAGTCAGGGAGAATATCTTCTTTATATAAGAGGATAATCTAAATGTTTTCAGGCAAGACGCCCTTCAACAGGTACTTACCCATAGAAGGACATCTTACCTGAAAGATTTTCCGATCATCCTCTTTTAAAAGAATATCTTCTTCCTGACTTTTGATGCTTCTTTTGAAACGTTTTAGAATTTCTGACGAAGGGTTTACCCGAAAGCTTTTACGATCATCCTCTTATAAAAGAAGATCTTCTCCCTGACTTTTGATGCTTTTTCTAAAACGTTTTAGAATTTTTGAAGAAGGTATTTTCCGAAAGCTTTTACGATCATCCTCTTTTAAAAGAAGATCTTCTCCCTGACTTTTGTTGGTTCTTTTAAAACGTTTAGAATTTCTGACGAAGGTATTTTCCGAAAGCTTTTACGATCATCCTCTTATAAAAGATCTTCTCCCTGACTTTTGTTGGTTCTTTTAAAACGTATTAGAATTTCTGAAGACGGTCTTTTCCGAAAGCTTTTAAGATCATCCTCTTATGAAAGAAGATCTTCTCCCCGACTTTTGTTGCTTCTTTTAAAACGTTTTAGAATTTCTGACGAAAGTATTTTCCGAAAGCTTTTACGATCATCCTCTTATGAAAGAATATCTTCTCCCTGACTTTTGTTGCTTCTTTTAAAACGTTTTAGAATTTCTGACGAAAGTATTTTCCGAAAGCTTTTACGATCATCCTCTTATAAAAGAATATCTTCTCCCTGACTTTTGTTGGTTCTTTTAAAACGTTTTAGAATTTCTGAAGAAGGTATTTTCCGAAAGCTTTTACGATCATCCTCTTATAAAAGAATATCTTCTCCCTGACTTTTGTTGGTTCTTTTAAAACGTTTTAGAATTTCTGAAGAAGGTATTTTCCGAAAGCTTTTACGATCATCTCCATAAAAGAATCTCTTCTCCCTGACTTTTGATGCTTCTTTTAAAACGTTTTAGAATTTCTGAAGAAGTTATTTTCCGAAAGCTTTTACGATCATCCTCTTATAAAAGAATATCTTCTCCCTGACTTTTGTTGGTT